CCCCCCCAAAAAAAAAGTTGCGAGCGACGTCCCGATTTCTGTTTAAGCGGACTCCATTACATCATAGATATGTGCCTATTACGCTATATCGTCCATAATATTATTCTTGTCAATGCTGAGTAGTCGAGTAGATCCATACAACATTTAGTTAGTAGTAGTAACTTTAGTCGATTAATATTCCATATAATAATATACATATTGGCTACAGTTACTATGTTTTAACATTCAAAATACCGTAGATCGTTCAAATTCTAGCTTAGAAAGCGTTTATAAGGGCGTGGGAGATGTTTATAAGAGCACAGGTAGGGTATATAAAGGCGCAAAATAAGCTTACGTAACGGGCACATGTAGTATTACACTGGACACTGGTCGACATACATTTTGCGGCTTTAGGTTTAAAACTTATTCTTAGCTAATTTGGGGTCGCTGGTTCCAGAAATGGCTTTCATTTTTAGCGTATCACTTTAAGTTTGCTCCATTAAAAAGTGGTATTTTTCACGTTAATGACAGAATTCAAGAATTTGCAACAGCATGGCCTGTAGTTTGATTTAAAACTTCATTTTGATGAATCGCGGTAACACGTAATTGAACCTTTATCTGTGCGACTTTTCATCCAAAATAGGTAAGTCATCATTAATAGTTGAATTATGCCAATTTTTCTGTTTTTTAAACATAATAAAACACAACTATTGTACATGCCCTAAAAGTATATAGCTCAACCACTGTCTATTTTCACTCTCAATCTTTTCTAAAGAATGCCCCCCCCCCCCCAAAAAAAAAAAACCCAAAAAAACCCCAACAAAACAAACAAACAAACAAAAACAACAACAAACAAAACAAACAAACAAAAACAAAATTGCAAAAGTATTGGCTTGCCCACAAAAACCTCATTATGTCGTGGAAACGGCGAGATAGAAGCTTGGGCATGATCGTTTGTGTCTTTAGGAGAAAAGCTTTTTCGGCAATAGAAAAGCATAAAAGTTCCAGGAATAGGCCCTTAGGTCAACGACTTTCGGTACTAGAAGAGATCCTACTAGAAAACATCCATCCTCGGGCTGCAACGAGCCACAAGGTTCATTTTAAAAATTATTAGTCAATTTAAATGGTTTTCCTCAAAACTTAGTCTGTGATGAGCAAGCTGAAAGATTTCATATATATATAGAATGTACACTTAATTCACTTATGGCCTGGAACCATTCGTGGGGAACGCTGACCAAGATGGCCCAGGACAGACAAAGTTGGAGATCCTTTGTTGCTGCCCTAAACGCCAGAGATGGCGTAATGGGTGGTAAGTAAGTACACTTATGGAGGAGAGATATGAAGGCCGATGGGACACCAGGATGATGGTAGGTTACTATTGAAGCCTTCAAAGAGACTGTCAAGGTGGGCTCTCGTGGTCTAGAGACTAGAGGTTAAAGGAGTTCGCCTCTCATTCAATGAGGTCCCGGGTTCGAATCCGGAGAGCGACGGAAAACTTTCTTCTCCAATATTTTCCCCTTTCACACCCTTTCCTGCTCTCTGACGATGTTGTCATCTGCTTTCCTCCCCTTTCTACCCTCACCCCGTTTGCCCCCTCTGGGCTCCTGACTCTTTCTGCAGCCTTTCTAACTGCTTCTCCTTGGCCCCTTCTTACTGCTGTCTTTCAGCCACACCCCTGATCTTATGGTAGGCAAGATCTACACTTGGCCTTCTCGGACAAGGGAGAAAAATCTCGGAGGTCCCGTGGGCAAGTTGCGCACGTTAAAGATCCCTCGGTGGTCCCAAAAAAATTAAAAGAGTAGGCTTCGGCCGCTACCCAGGCAAAATTCCAAATTTCTTACAAACTAAAAATGTTTGGAGTGTCCTGCGCGCTCATATGACCTTATGAAGTTGCGAGCGCCGTAAAAACACTTACCAAAACAAAACAAATCAAAGAGAGAGAGACAGAGAGAGAAAGAGAGAGAGTGAGAGAGAGAGAGAGAGAGAGAGAGAGAGAGAGAGAGAGAGAGAGAGAGAGAGAAAGAGAGAGAGAGAGAGAGAGAGAGAAAGAGAGAGAGAGACTGTGCTATACCTTAAACTTAATGTAACCATTGCTACAGGTATTTTCATTTTTGACATTAAGGATTGACATGATTTATCTGACTGAATAAAAAAAAAGCTTTGATGTCTCACATGTTTTTCTTCCTCTGAACAATAATCTGATCTTCTTGTTTGTTTTAGTAGAGGTTTTACGGCGCTTGCAACTGCATAAGGTCATATGAGTGTCAGAAGTTTAGAGGTGCTGCAAGAGCGTAACAAACTTAAAAAAGGAGGAAAGATAGGGGCGATAGATGTTTGATAGGAAAGAAGAAGCAAACCACACCAGAGCACCCGCCAACCACCCAGTTATCTTCCTGTGTGTGATTTTGCTCTATGTGTGTCATTGTGTGACAAACAGAAGACGTGTGTGAGTGAGAGAGAGAGAGAGAGAGAGAGAGAGAGAGAGAGAGAGAGAGAGAGAGAGAGAGAGAGAGAGAGAGAGAGAGAGAGAGAGAGAGAGAGAGAGAGGGAGGGGGGGGGAGGGGAGTGGTACAGTTCATTCCCATGGACACACTGTGACATATTGGTTACGCTAGATATGGAGGAGAGAAGGAAGATGGATATTTGAAATTTGACAGGAAAAAAGGAGCAAAGAATACATGCAGGAAAAAAATCACAACAGAAGTCAGAATATCGGTAGTTTCTTTAGACTTTATTTTCATCAACAAATCTGTATGAGTCAGCCGACAGACATACTGTTTGCAGCAGCTTTTTTGTATGTTTTTTTTCTTTCTTTCTTTCTTTTCATCACATTTGTACAATTTAAAAAAGAAAAGCAACAAAACTTTTACATCCAGGCACTCATTCAGATAAAATAAAAAACAAATGGCATTAAAAACAGTAGATCCCAACCACACAGAAGGGTTGAGTTTTAAAAATTCGAGCATCA